AGATGTGTATAAGAGACAAGATTTATTTTTTACATATGTGTACCAAGTTTCAAAGTTATCTGTCAGTAATTAACCGAAATAGAATTTCCATAAGAAATTGGACATTGCCATTGGAAATTGGAAATCTTATTTCGGTTACTTGCCGACAGATAACTTTGAAACTTGGTACACATGTGTAAAAAATAAATCTAAGACTTTTTCAATTCATGTGAGTTTTTCTAAAAAATGACAGAAAACGTGAAATTGTTGGAAAACCGAAGTTTTTTCTGTGTGACGAATTCGTCACGCCAGGGCGTAAAGGGCTAAGGGCGTATTGTGATCCCTAAAGGCGTATTGTGATGCCTAGGGGCCTATTGTTATCCCTAAGGGCGTGTTGTGATCCCTAATGGCGTATTGTGGTCTCTAAGGGCGTATTGCGATCTCTAAGGGCGTATTGTGATCCCTAAGGGCCTATTGTGATCCCTAAGGACGTGTTGTGATCCCTAAGGGCGTTGTGTGTTCTTTTTGTGTGTAAAACGCCGTTTGTGTGTTCTTTAGAACTATTAGTTAAGTTACAAAAAATGCCAATTTTTAAAATTGAGATTAGCTGAATATTCAATTTTATTCAAGGTTTAAGTGAGTCTTAATTTTGAATTGAGATTCACATTTTAATTTTTTAATCTTAATTTTGAATTCAGATTAAGTGAATGATTGAGTGCGAGAAGATACACAGACACACGCTACAGTCTCCTTCACACTTACACTAATGTCACTTACACATTTTCACTAACGTCACTTACACACTTATACTAACGTCACTTACACACCTACACTAACATCACTTACACACTTACACTAACATCACTTGCACACTTACACTAACGTCATTTACACACTTACACTAACGTCATTTACACACTTACACTAACGTCACTTAAACACTTACACTAACGTCGCTTACATACCTACACTAACGTCACTTACACACTTACACTGACGTCACTTACACACTTACACTAACATCACTTGCACACTTACACTAACGTTACTTACACACTTACACTAACGTCACTTACACACTTACACTAACATCACTTGCACACTTACACTAACGTCACTTACACACTTACACTAACGTCATTTACACACTTACACTGACGTTATCTACACACTTAAACTAACGTCAATTACATAACTAATTACAGGCTGGGACATCACAACTGATCACAGGCTGGGACATCATATCCCCTACAGGCTGGGATTTATTAATTGGCTCATTATCCTCTATTTGGAAAGATCTCAAGCGATTCATCTGGTCTGTTTATTAAAAATATAAATTCCTTCTAAATTTTCGATCCTTAATCCTATTTGTTAGGATAAATTGCACCAGATACCGTATAAGTAATATCAATACCCCAAATACTCGTATTACGTGAGTAAGTGCTCGACTATAAGCCAGTACTCCAGTAGTTTACTCTGCCATTTCATCTGTGTCGGTGAAATTACCGTTGGACCTTCAGCCGTAGCTACATGGCGTGGCAGAATGAACATAAAGATACGTTCTCTGCATCGTTTGCGCAGTCGATCAAAAGATTATAATTACTTACACTCAAGAGAGTCAGACTCTTACACAACTGCCATAAGTTTTTCAATTTTTTACACACGAGTTTGAAGGAATAGGCTTATTGAATGTGTTCGAAAAATGGGCTAAAATTGCATTTTCTAACTTCTAATCATCTTTTAATGAAAACGAATATGTCGAGCAAAAATACGTTGGAAAAAGCACTCCAACAAGCGTAAGTGAAATAAGTTAGCTTACCGTGCGTGTGGATACAACTAAACACCGTCTGCGTTAAACCGCGTTCAAGACAGCAACTGATCGATTCCCTGTAGTTTGGGAACCACTTTAAAACTCACAAGTGTTCCGCTATTGTAAGCCACAAAACAGGTGTGACATCTCGTGTTGAGCCTCTTTTATATTGATCGTACTCACAAGTGTTCAGCGATTGTAAGCCACAAAACAGTTGTGATATCTCGTGCTAAGCCTCTTTTATATTGATCGTTGTGCACTTTTACGCTTGACCAGAGATAGTAGTAGTAGAACAGGTAGAGCAGAAATAATAGTTTGGCTTACTAGTGCTTATGTTATTAAGATATTTCGCACCAAAATTAGCGAAAAAACGGCGCCAGCATGGCGGAAGGTTTCAATTATTAAAACTCATCACCCACAGTTGGTCTTGGTAGGCCGGTTGTCGATCGTTCTTTTGTTGCTGTAAGGGCGCGTATCCAGAATAGAGTATTTGTGCAGGGATAATTGGTAACATGGGGCAGCGCGCCCCCCTTTTTTAAACTAAATTTTGATGAAGTTTAAATTGATACGAGGTAGTTCTTTGTTTTGTTTAAAGTAACAACTAATGAGAAATATATGATGTGAATTTGAAGCCAAAAGAGTTATTAAATTTTTAATGAAACACTATTGTGTTAAAAGTATCAATATGGGCCCATTGCCCCACCCCCGGGACAATGGGCCCATGGGCTTTGGGAAAGGCACCCACTCCTGATCCCTTTACCTCAATTGCACAATTTTTGTTTTATATATGGTAAAACAAAACTTTACAGTTCATATTAAGAAATATTTAATAAAAAATATTACATTCATTCATTTAATAACAACTCGAAAAATGTTATCCAAAACATAAAAAAATATATTCCCGGCTTAAAATATCTATCACTGACGTGAAAAAAATATTTCTTTGTCATAAAAATATCTATCCTTGACTGGAAAAATAGATCCTTTCCATAAAAAATTCAACCTTGACTCGAGAAAATGTACCCTTGACTAGAAAATTTATTTACTTGATCAGAAAAACTTCGTTCCAGTTTCGTCCATAATCCAGATATTATGTGCAGGGAATCCATATTTAATCGTGATTTCAGCCAACACCATGAATACTCATCAACTTTTGGCAAGGCAAGAGTCAATAACTCGATAAGGGGTCATATATACGCATATCTAGAAACTAAACCTGCTGCCTTGAGGCGACAAATAAAAAAAAATCATACAGCACGAAGTCTAAATTGTAATTAAAAGAGCTAGTTATAGTTTTGGAAAGCTCATTGAGGCAATTCTACTGATGTGTAACACAAGACTTCACAGAGGGGTTTTGAGCCCACCATGGACGCTTTGCCCCGTGGCACGCATGGGCCGGTTGCCCCACTAGGTATCATTTCAATTTATATCGTGTCAACATTTTATTCTAAAAGCTAATAGTTTAAACTTGAACTCAAAATTATCCCTATAAATAATACTTTCAAAACATAATTCACAGTAATTTCAAAAGCTTCATATACGGTAATCGAAAACAGTTTTATTTTGCAGCAAAAAACTTTTAGCTAGGCTAAAGCAATTATTTGCAAGTAACTTACCAACACAAACTCTTAGCAAAACGCAGAGCCACATACTTCATCCCAGTGAAACTGTCGACCGGCGGTATATAGAGCTCACGGCCCAATATCTGCCATACTTTGCGGGAAACCCGATGTGGGCCCGTGAACCGCAGTGGTCCCTTTGCCCCATGTTATGCCCTACCTGTACCGGGAAATTTATTTTTACTAAGGATAGGAGAAAAATTATATTATACAATTCAAAAATTGTATTAATTGTAAATGTAAAAGTTTATTCCATATAAAAATAAAATTTGATTCGAATTTAAAACTGGGAGTCCTGTTGTACACCAAAATTAAGAGTTTGAACGATGAATGTTGTTTTTCTTTGTTAGTTCCCAAATGATATGAATCATGCTATATAACCAGAACGACAAAATTTTGAATGACGGGATACAAAACATAGCTATGTATAGATATTTTGGACAATATATACATGGCAATGCCGGGCCAACCTGTCAATATTGAAATATTGATATTATTATTATTCCAATATTATAGTATAATACGTACAACTTGCAGGATTGCGCAGCGTGGCTCAACCTCGATAGTCCCTGCAAGTTTTGAATCTCATTATCCCGTATCCACCCCCAAAAAAGCTTATGTATATTAATTAAAGAAAGACCAAATGAAATTTTACACAGTACATACAACTCCCAGGTCACCCAATCCCTCCCTCTCAGTATTGCAATGCCTCTCTGTTCTCCAACTGAAATAAATTTTTAGGTCCAGGCAAAATCCCGACACTATGAGTATAATGGAAACGTGCCCCAACAATCCTTAAATATTTGTGGTGCCATAAGTATAGTGAATACGCGCCCCAAGTGCATTTATATATTGTGTTGCCATAATTAAGTATCCTGGATACGTGAACCAACAGCCCCTATGTATATGTGGTGCTTTAAGTATCCTGGATACACGAACCAACAGCTCCTCTATATTGTGGTGCCATAAGTATCCTGGATACGCACCCCAACTGCCCCTTTATATTGTGGTTCCAGAAGTATCCTGAATACGCACCCCACAAAGCCCCTCTATATTTGTGGTGTTATAAGAATATTTGTCGGCCATTGCAACAAAGCGGCATCGGATGACTCAGGACAGGTTAACAAGTGAGCTCGTTTATTTGTAGCTAGCAGGTGTTCTGTTTGTGCAGGTGACCTCGACCACAAGGGCTCACGTAGCTGCAGGCGTTCATATCACTGCTAGTGGCTGCAGCGTTCACGTGGCTGCAGGCGTGTATGCGACTGCAAGCGTTCATGTGGCTGGATGTATTCATGTGGCTGCATGTGTTCATGTGGCTGCATGTGTTCGTGTGGCTGCATGTGTTCATGTGGCTGCATGTGTTCATGTGTCTGCATGTGTTCATGTGGCTGCATGTGTTCATGTGGCTGGATGTATTCATGTGACTGCAAGTGTTCATGTGGCTGCATGTGTTCATGTCGCTGGATGTGTTCATGTGGCTGGATGTGTTCATGTGGTTGCATGTGTTCTTGTGGCTGGATGTGTTTCATGTGGCTGGATGTGTTCATGTGGCTGCATGTGTTCATGTGGCTGCAAGTGTTCATAATGTGTTCATGTGGCTGCATGTGTTCATGTGGCTGGATGTGTTCATGTGGCTGGATGTGTTCATGTGGATGCATGTGTTCATGTGGCTGGATGTGTTCATGTGGCTGCATGTGTTCATGTGGCTGGATGTGTTCATGTGGCTGCATGTGTTCATGTGGCTGCAGACGTTCATGTGGCTGCAGACGTTCATGTGGCTGCAGGCGTACATGTGGCAGCTAGAATTTATTTCGCTGTAGGTGCTCGCTGGCCAAGATACTCAGCACATCGGCAGCTCCAACACTTGCGGAAGAAACCACTATAATATTAGAGCGTTTCGTTTCTGAGCAGTGCTTATTATGCTCGGAATAAAATGTTCGTTTGATTTCAGTATAGATAAGTTTTCACCAAAATCGATAGTAAATTTGGTGGTATGTACAATACTGGATATATCAGATGTTAAATAAAATAAAAAATTTATTTTCCTATGAGCCAAAATTGTTTAAGGGAACTCTGATATGAATCGACAGTTACTTTTTTTCTTTATCCCTCCTGATAATACTCGCGCTCATCATTTTGTTTCATTATTTGCCATAGTAACAACATCGGGTACTAAAATCACTTGACTGCTTAAATCAAAATGCAACAAGTAATTTGAAAACTAATGCTTGCATGTCTAGCTAGCAATTGTCTTTTTGATTTTAAGCTAATATTTTATAACCGATATGTCAATGAAACTTTACTGATAAATTAAACATCCCTCTCAAGTGGGGCGATTTTTCGATTATCTTAACCTTTTACATAACTCGATAATTTTCACGATGAAATTTGAATCAAACAATATTTTGTCTCTACCCGATTGTAATATTACTAAATTTAATGACCGTTTTAAAACTTCTGCTTACCGAAGATTGAAGTTTACCGGTATAAGCTACCTTCTCTTTACTTTTCGTTCATTTAGTTCGAAATTAAATGAGATTCAAACACTAATACAAAGCCGCTTTCGTATTTGCTCCACCTTCCATGTCATACACTCTGAATTTGAATTTTTGCGCTGTACCTTCTCACCTAATGGGTTCTAGCCTGATGTTTACTTAAATTAAGAGATTTATGTCTAAAAATATACTGAGGTTGCTCTCGAACGTGATAATAGAAGCATACATAGTTTAGTGTTCATTCCTATACTTCGGCCCATCATCTGAAACTCCTTGTAAATAATATTGAAAGTTTTGTTCATGGAGTATTTTCCAAATATAAATCTCCGGATATTGTAGGTGAATAATTTTAAGATCAGTTTTTTCAGGTATAACATTCCCTGACATAATGCGATCATCTTTAGTTTACAAATTAAGTTGTGCCCCTGACGCATCAGTGTACGTCGGTATGACGTCACGCAGCTTTTATTCCTGAGTTGCTACGCATAAAGACCTGGCGTCTTACGTCATGTGTTGTCGTAAATTAGAGCAACACCGAGGAAAATAGAGCGGTGTCATAGAGCGTTATGACGTAGAATACGTTACGACGTAGAACACTTTACGACGCAGAACACGTTACAACGTAGAACACGTTACGACGCAGAACACGTTACAACGTAGAACACGTTACGACGTAGAACACGTTACGACGTAGAACACGTTACGACGAGAGGGTCAGGTGAACAGCAACAACAACGAAGGAGGGACAGGTGAACAGCAACAACAACGAAGGAGGGACAGGTGAACAGCAACAACAACGGAGAAGGGTCAGGTGAACAGCAACAACAACGAAGGAGGGACAGGTGAACAGCAACAACAACGATCGAACCAATCAACGATTCACGGTTATCGCGTCCGTACGGTATTTTTTTCTCTACTGATGTTGAGCTTTTTTTGGCCAAGTTCAGTCATTGATTATTATTGGTATTATCATTTTTACTATTTCATTATTATTATTTTTATTGTATTTTCATTATAACCATT